CTTAGCATTATCTCTATTTGCCTCTAACGAGTTAAAGCTACATTTCACATAAACTATCGCGATAAATTTGCGTTTGCATATGGACTTGGGATAAATTTTCCCTGTGGTCGTGATTTAAGAAGAAAAATATTTATTTGTTTAATTTTTTTATTAAATTTTCACACGATTTTACTTTTTGTTATCGAAATCTAACAAATTTCAGTTTTCATTTTGTTCCTTTGGGAATAAGCAGTGATTTGTATTAAAAGCGATTTTGTTCCCAGCTCTCTATTGGCCAATATTGACATTTTTAGCGAGACCTATAATGAACCTACCAAAAAGGGGGTGGGATTTGAGTAAACAATAATAGAAAAACGTGCGTTGTGTTTTATTAATCGATCCACTGCACTTTCTCTTAACTATTTCAAGTCAAATTAGATAGTTTCCCAATCTCGACTAATATTGATCGAATATTACTGATGTATTCTTTCTTTCTCCATTAAAATATGAATCTTCGTTTAATCAATAAGGAGTTCATGAATCATTATTTAGTAATCAATAATCAATACTATTGCCTGTGCTTGACTCGCTCTCAATCGGGCCAAGTAGCTGTCATTATTCAGAAGTTACCAATTTTATTCACCTGTCTATAAGTTCAATACAAAGTGCTATACAATTTTTTACTTATATAAATTTAGCAATTTTGACATTTCATTGGACACATTTATGCACTATGGCTTTTAAATTCCAAATAGCGCTAAAGTAATTGCCAGTTTTGACTTACATTTTCAGAATGACAACAGCCCTCGTTCAGCCTCTGTCGGTCGCCCAATGGTCAACGGGACCCCTCAGCGAATCGTTAGCGCCAGTGGAGTTAAAGAATTAATGTTACAACACCCAATAACTAACGGGCATAACCTAACCTCAACACCAGCCCATAGACCAAAAACTACAACCATCGAGGCTCAACAGTCTTCTGGTTTTTCGTCTGTCAATGGAGCGTCACCAATGCAGCCTAGTCCAAACCAACGCTATTCTACCTGTACCCTTCATCTCAACGACACCATATCTTCAAATGCAGAAGATAGGACGTTGAAGAACATGACGAATGGGAATAGTCAGGAAGAAGAAAACGAAGAGGAGGACCTAGAGGAAACAGCTTCTGGGACGCTTGATGATGAGACATCTGATGATGGAATGTTGTCTGATGATCGTGGACTGGGAAATGGGAGTGGAAGAGAGAAGATGACAAGCACCGACGATGAAATACAGCGTCCTGGTTTAAATGGAGTTCTCTCTCGTGAACAGAGATGTGCGTTTGAATACATTTTTATATATTAAACTTATATTATATTAGCCATTGGCGTAAACTAGCCTTCCCACTGAGATTGTACCATGACTACAATTGCTCTGGCCTCTAATGTACAACTATGTTTGTCTATAAGAATTCGGATCAGCTGGTGATGGTTTGACTTTTTTGCTAATAATCGCAATATTAGCGCGATTTAGCACATCTAAGTGCAAATGTGAAAATCTAATGATCGATAATCCGATGCGACTGAGATCGAGCCTTTGAACCATGCTAAATTTGCTCCGAAAATGCTCAATTTAATTTTTTTATCAAAATTCTTTATAATTTTTCGCACATGCGTTTTAGCCGATGTAGTTAAGTGCATTTGGTCTGAAGTATTCAATTAATAATTTAGGGGGTTGGAGCATCTCTCAGGCAAATGCGACGAAAAACAAGGACTTATTTTGGCTTTAAATTAATGGATATTTTAATTAACTTTTATTAAATGCATCTCTAGTGGTATCTTCTTCATTTCAAATTCGAGAATTTTCCATCATTGGTGGTATGATTGTTTACTTTCTTGTTGTTTCAACTTGCTACTCTTACTACATGAGTTTTCTTTTCCTTCTAATCTCCAACAACCAGATATTTTTCCCTAATGAATCCAAGGATTATAATTCTAGCCGACTCTGTAGGTCTGTCGACCTCTGTTTCCTGAAACTGACTAGTCATATTAGAAGATTAGCATTTACCTCTTAGCCTAAACTTTCTTTGGTATATAATTGACACGCATAAACCAATTAAAGCTATAAAATTGTCATTATTACGTCACAAAGGTAAGGGTACTTCTTATTTATGCATATCTGCGAATTTTATTAATTAAGTCTATAATTTCATTTATTGGACTCCATTTTACTAATTAATTTATTAATTCAAGTTATTGCATCTTGAAATTGTCGGCTTACCTCTTTCCATCTACCGGCATTAGAATACAAGCATCAATCATGCTTCTCCAGACAATGATATCCTCGAATGTATACGTGTGTACGTATATAAGATTCGAACCCTTAGAATATGCGAATTCAGCATGCATTCAGTACATATTTAGTGGTTCGTTGTGCCATTGGATGGTTTATTTCTCTACCAATAATTGTTATCTACGGCAATGGAAATGTTTCTGCTGGCTTTAAACACAGAATGGCACCTAAACTCTTGAAATACAGAAAGAATCTAACAAGAGAATAAATGATTAAGGGGGTGTTGAAGTATGGGCATTTTATGGTGGCAGGATGTCAAGGGCCTTCGTTATTCTGGAGCTCAATCTCCATGATTTGCGTTTTGAAGTTGTGTTGAATTCAAGACTATTTGAGAAGTAGATTCAATTGAATGGTTGACCATGGCACTTTGATTAGTTTTTTTATTATCTTAGGTGAATTTTGATGTTCCTTTTGCTATAATTAATTAGCTGCAAATTTTCTTGATAAATTTATTTTATTTATATTAAATGGCAGGAGTTTTGATGGTTATCATTAGCCCTTTAGTGGACTTCAGGCTTCACAGAGGGAAAGGAACATCAAATTGAAAAAAGTCGAGAGGAGGGGAACAGAAGAGTGTTTCAAAGACGAGGGTTGAAAATTTAGAAAATTTGTGATTTAGTACTGTGGAAGTGGTCGAATATGACATACAGTGGGGTCAGAGGTCAACTGCCTGTTAATAAACTTTTTTGCCGTATGAGAATACGTTGCCCAGGGTGCACCACGTGGAGGTAAGCCTATCGCACACTCCTTTTCTTGATAAATAAATGAGCTCTAGCGAGGATAATAAGGCAATTATAACAAATATAGTTGAAATTTTTATATTTATTTATTTTGTTTTTACTTCACGTGCCATCGGTCTGATTTTCACCTTTTTGGCGCCTATAGGTACTTAATTCAAAAGTGTACAATTTTGTTCGGCGAAATTTTTCCGTTTCAACACCCCTCCCCCATATTTTAATGCTTTGTTTATTTGATCCAAAAATAATTTTCCTCCAAACGTCCTTCATTCGTTTAAGCTTCTATTCATATATCCAGAATGACTTTTCAGCATGATCGTTTTGTCTGCATATCCATTTAAGCAAAAAGTAAAGAGGAATTGAGAATTTTTTTTCCATTCCTGGCAAGTTTCCTCTCAACCAACTCTGGAATTCCATTGGTCGAGGCGCTTTGTATCCCTAGAGCGAATACTGATGCTAACGCCTTCCGCACGCAAGCCGACAATAAAGTATCCTCATATACCTGAGGTCTGTGTTCGATTGCCAGTTTGAGATGAGATTAATCACTGTATTTTTTCCCTGGTCTGTTTAAACTTTTTCTAACGTTTACATAACCAATTTATTTGAACGGTTAATTACTTCATTTTTTCGAACCACTCGGAGTACTTTTTGAGCTTGCATTACAATTGTAAGTCTCTAAATTTTTTTCCTATGGATTTGAAGAGGAACATAGCAGTTTTAGATGTGTTCGTTTATTCACAAAATTCAAAGAGAACTTCGGATATGTTGTTTGTTCTCCTCATAGACTTGTGTGTTGTTTGTGTGCTTACTTGGCCTGACCAGTTTGAGGTCAGACCAGTCCCCGTGGCTGATACAAAAGTGGCAATTCTAACACTTTTCGCTACAACAATGCCTTCTTAAAAGATCCATTGTCCTGAGTCACTTGCCACTTTCAATGTAATATTTTATTTTGGATCATTATCATGCCCACTTTAATTAGCTTTTTTGTGGCATAAAAAGTAATTTAATCAGTGTAATAATCCAATAAGTTTTCATCATTTCCAGTAGAAGCTGGGCTTATTATCAGGGTTTTATAAATTTACGATGATTAGAAAGGATGATGTATCAAATATGTGTATATCATTCCATCTATATATCAAATGGCAGGCTTTATGGTGGGTATCATTAGCCCATTAGTTGACTCCTGGCTTCTCAGTGGTTCTGAGTTTCTGCCGTTGTCTGTAAGGCTGGACACGGCATCAGATGGGTCACATTGGGGGGGGGGGTAGATGGTTGGGCGTATGCATCGATTCTGTAGAGGTGTTTCGCCAGACAATCGTGTCCGGTACGCAGTCTAAATTCCGCAACAGCTTCGATTCTTAACCAGTCGGCTGTGTTGGAGAGTGCCGCTACCCACTGCTTCTCCTTCTATTCAGTTCGTTGTTTCTTGAAGTCTCTCAAGAATGAACCATAATTTGATCAAGTTCTAACGTCCCTTGATGAATATTCAGGTTTGATTATTCATTCTTCTAATAATTATTGGTAGCAAATATTTTTAACCCTTGCCTAGTCAAGTCGGAGCGTTATTTTCACAAGTCTTGCTATCCATTACCGAATTATGGTTTGCTAGGAGCTCTGAATAACTTTATCATAACCTATTGTGAATGCCACTTTTTTACTTGAAAATATATGCTAATAGCGTACCTCTGATGACCAATCATTCATTTCTTTACAAACTAATCAGAATTTTTCGCCTTTGCAATATCTGCTACGCCTATTACTCCTTTTCGTAAGAGCGTAATCTTGATTGGTCGTTTTGGTTTCTCAGCCAACTTCTACTTCACTGAAACTACCAAAACTGATAATCTCAATATATCATAATTTGTAAGATAAAAGGAGTAAAAAAGTTACGTCAGTTTTATTTCATTTTAGTCTAGAACGAAGATTTTATGGAAGCCACCTTTGGGAAATGAGAGCTTTTAAGGGGGCAAATATGCATTCATGGCGGACACGTGTTAGATCCTTTTAACTTGACGATGATTGGCGTTTTATTAAAGAATATCTATTTAAATTTAATTTGAACTTGTCAATATCTTAACAGTTAGAGAGGTCAATAAAACATGATTTTGAGTTAATATAGAACACGAAATTGGACCTAATGGATGTGCTTATTAACAAAAAGAAGTTACAGTACTTCTATCCTCTATCTGAATCTGCGCCACATGGCACCTGGAACAAGCATTCATTACTGCATCTAGACTTCACCAATGTTCGCAACTTCTAGAAGTTCTCTAAATTACACGGATAACTTAATACCAGCGTGCACAAGTTTTGCACCTTATCGGCAAAATGAATTATGCAACTCGGCTTTGGAATGAAATAGGTTTCTAGAGTGAAAATGAATAAAATGGTTAAACGTGAATATAATTTGAAAACGAAAAAGAGAAAAATATGTAAATATTTTGGTGAATTGAAATTGGTCTCTCTCTCATCTCTATTGTTATTGCTCTAAGCTCCTGAACATTGTGGTAGATTATTTAGTTTTCTCAAAGAAATAATTCTATCAATAAGCTTTGACAAGCGTTTCCTGCATCCCCGAGCACAAATCATTTGCTTCGAATTTTGGAATGTAAGACTTGCATTCGAGAAAAGCGATTGCACTAAGACTTTGTGAAGTCATGACATCACTTTCAGCGTCATTTTGTCCCCCCCCCCCTCTCTCTCTTCTTCATCCTCCATTGGAATTCCTGTTAATCCAACTCAGTCGGTTCCCCCAATATTTAGTTTGTATTTTTATGGGTAATATAAATACTAGTAGGTCTTAATCATGAGATTTAGATCCATTTATACTTGGGTTAATTAGTGACTTGCCGTTTCATTTTCCAGTATTAGAAATGCAAAGATTCTTACTCATAGCTTGAAAAGTAACTTAACTTACACACACCTGTGTTTTAGCCCTTTCTCGTGGAGGTGAACTGCACAAACTACTCTATCCAGATCAATCCCTTCCTCCACCCGTCTACACAAATTTAAACAAATTGACCCACGCTGCTCAACGCAAGTTCTCAATGTCCACAAACGTCTCACCTAATACCCCCACCGGTGGCTCTGCTGGAAATCCCATGTTGTGGAGTCAATCAGCGACAGGCGAATCGGATAATCTCTCCATCGCCTCTGCTCCTCATGCGCAACCTGAGACGACCACGAACAATAGTGGAGTCCACTCAATGCCCGGATCCCCACATCGTCCCTCATATTCCACGTCGAGTTCAAATTCTAGACCTAGAGGCAGCTCAGTTGGCGTGGAAGATCCATTCTCTGTGGAAATGGATGAATTGGACAGAATGGTAATCGGTAAGTAATGCAAATTAATTCTATTAAGCACAATTTTGCTTTAGACTTTTTAAAAATGCTTTTAAGAGCAATTCCGATTTTTTCAAAGCACAAACAATAAACCAAATATTGTACTAATCGCTTAAGGTCTTTTAGAAATATTTGTTAGCATTAGTCTGCCTAATGACCGATTGTTCCTATCAATAGGTGTTTGAAGAATTTCGCCACAAGCGAAAAGGAATGTTTCTTTTCTTTAAATCGAATTAAGTGCGCCTATTTCGCCTTAGCACTCTTCCTCACCCCCCCCCCCCCGGTTGTGTTGTTCGCTTCGGTGATTTCTTTTCGCTGCGCCACACTTTCTTACAAAGAGAAGGAAATCCTCTCCTTCCAGTGGCCGGCGGAAAGTGCACTGTATGCTTCGACTTCATAGTGGATGAATTATGGCCTCTTAAATTTGGCGCAGACTGATGTTTCTAATGTTTTTTTTTTTTGGTGATTCAGTGTTTGATTTATCATTCACCCCTTAATTCCCATTGGCCATTCTGGTTGTAGTCAATCTTCTTTTGTATATTTTTTTTCAACGAAAGCATGCATGCCTCGGGTTTAATGTTTATTCGTATGGCATGTCTGCATAATTAAATTATGCCTCTATTCATTCCAGTTCTTTGTTTAAAGTTTGACGTTAAAAAGAGAGGTGATTTTAAATCTTCTCAGAGGGACACTTAGAGAAGGAGATATTAGAGAGATGACAACTCCTATTAGCATTCTTGCATATCCGATTGGCTAGAGCCAACTTGCAAATAGACTATTTAAGAGATATTTTGTTAGCAGTTATTAGAAGCTTCATATTACGGATTATGTCCCACCTTTATGGTGAAAATTGGTAGATACTTGGATATGTCCACTTATAACCAAATTATAATTCCCCTTCTTTCATGATTTTGCCTTTTGCTTAGGTGTTCATGTTAACTATTACGTTTCCTATGCACCGTAATAGTACAGCGATCAAGTATTCTGTTGTAGACGCCCGGGCAGTTGCTAATTTGTAAAAATATAAAACGCTTGTTCATTCAGGGCTGACTAACCTGTGAAAACTTCGGCATATCTTTTGGGGACATCTCCGATAATTTTATTTATATCAAATGGCAGGCGTTTTGATAGTTATCATTAGCCCTTTAGCTGACTTCTGGCTTCACAGATGGGAAGGAACATCAAGGTGAAAAAAAAGTCGAGAGGGGGAGGGAAACAGAAGAGTGCTTCAAAGATGTAAAAGACAGACACCAAGGTAGAAAAAAGGTGAGGGGAGTACTGTGAAAATAGTCGAATATGACAGTGTGGTGATGGCAGTCCGAAGTCAGAAGTCAACTGCCAATTAATAGACTTTTTTGCTGTATAAGTATACGTTACCTAGGGTGCATCACGTGGAGGTATGTCTATCGCACACCTCACACCTCAGATAGTATAAAGCGGTAACACAAAAATAAGTCACAATAGTCGACTTACGTGCCGTAACAAATTAGAGGTCACCGAATGAATGTTAATCGATGAACATCCAATGGGTGTGGGTAACTAATCACTGCTTAATTGTGGTTCACATGGAAGGTGGTAGGAAATGAGATTCATACAAATCGACTCCAGGATATCTTCTCTCTACCCAAGTGAAGTGCTTTGAGCACCTCTCCTAAAGGGGGTTAGCGAGGTTTTACAATGGGACTAAATTGACTGACTTTTTTCAGAAGGAGGAAATATTTATGAAGATGTGGTCGCACTATCAAAGTTGAATAATTTATTTCCTCTTATTTCAATTTGCCTATTGTAGTTTTACTTGCAATACGCCAATCCATCAGCATTGGCTTAAGGCACAAAATATTCCCTTCTCACATTTGATGTTCGTTCGTAGATCTCACTTCTTTTTACCTAAGAGATAATGTGGCTACTCGTCTTCTGTTTAGTATTTCCCGAGTTATTTGTTTCCATCATTAGTCTGTGCGAAGATAGTGATTCAGTACTTGTTCACTGCGTTAGCTTGCTGATTCACCATTGTTATTGCTATCTGTCAAGATGCATTACTTTTCCTTATTGAGCAAATGCGGTTTCTCACCATGTCGTGTTCTGGTGTATATTTTCTATAACTTACTTTCTTGCTTTTGGGAATTTTGTCAATTGCAGTTCAGGATTATAAAATTCACTCGTTCATCAATCTCGCCACTAACTTATATAAGGCAATGAGGTTACTATACAATAGAGAATAGGAATTGATTTTGCTACTGAAATTTAAATTACCAATGGAAATGATTTTTTCCCAAAATTGGGTCTCTATACTGAATGTGCAGGACGTTTGTGGACTCATTGCAACTTAATAACAGTGACTTACAAGTATCCCGACTACGATATAGGCTAAACCAACTTTAAGATTTGCAGTCCAGGCTTTGGCTCGTAATTGGATGGTCTTCCTATCAACTGCTGCTTGATGCAAGCTAATCGAACCAATTGGAATTTGCACTTAAATAGGTCGTCTTCTCTTTATTGCCGTCGATATCTGGCTATTTTGTCGTTTTATTGGGTCTCCTATTTCAAGTCAACTCCTGAAAAAAAATAGGATCCGTGTTCCTTCTTGGTTTGCTTCATTCTAAATCGAAACGTTATTGTATTTTGTTAATTATTATTCTGGATCATCTCTAAATAATCTAAGGCACGGGATTTGGAGTCATCATTTTTTCAACACCAGCTGAAGTTTCCATAACTGTCTCTATTTCTTTTATTTTTCTTGAGAAGTATTAAGACTTTTATACTATGTCGTATTTTCTTGCCATATTTCAAGAGAATGTGTCAAGTATTGTTGGCACACTTGTCTTAAGGGGCTTGAGAAGTTGAATGATCCACATCCGGGACACATTTGAAAGCATGAGATCAGCATTTGGTTGCTCCCATTATATGTACCTCTCGCAACTCTTACCATTAGGGAAGAAGGAATCCATTGGAAACGGCTGGCTGAGAGTTCGATCTCTTCACCCGCCACTTATTTGCATGGTTTGTCAAGTGCCTATTTCTCGAGGAGTCAGCTGAAAGCAAGCGCCTCCGTTTCGTTTTGCTTATTTTTTTTACTAAATCAACGACTGCAATGAAGTGACTCAGTAAGCATTCATAATGTTATGCCTCATCTGACCAATTGTTAGGCTAACGATTTTGGCTAGTTAGAAATTGCTTTTAGTCATTACCTTGGTTACTCGTAGTCGTTCTTCTAGAAAATTCCGTTAGTATTCACACTGGGCCTTGTTGCATGCCTGATATCACGCTCAATGACCAACAGAGAGCACATTTAAATCAGGGATTGGTGTCATATTTCTTGCCCTTTACATGTCAATGGATACTAATTAATATTGATCGAGATAGCATTCCCCATGAGCGCACATGTTAACTCATATCTGTTCTATCCCAATTGTCATCTGATGGCCTGAGAAGGACCTCTAGCAGACTATTTTCCAATCGAATTGTACTCTTCCAAACGGTAAATCTCCTCCTCTCTCATATTCTTTAAATACCATACGGTGTAACGATATAATCTTAACCTCTGATCAACTTTTAGCCTTCCGATTCCCAAGGGCTTTAGAGTCTTGTTGGTTTTTGGAAAGATTGCTAAATTTATCACATAGCTGCATATATTTAGCGGAATCGTTGTCTTGTCTCTGAATTGCCGAATACGAACTTTTTTAGCTTTAAATACCCCCAAGTCAGGTATCACCCATTCGCATTCACTAACGCAGAAGTGCCCAACCTCACAGATTAATTTTAGTCAGCAGAAGGAGTGATAAAATGGTAATTTCTCAATTTTATGCCCCAATGAAGAGCTGTAAGCACTTGAAAGTAGGCACTGCTTTTCCTATGCATAGGCCATGACAGGAAAAAACTTCTGTCTGGAATAATGACCTTGCAGGTATGCCTGTGGTGGTGACTCCATGTCCTCTGCAAGTGTTTCTGCAAAAACCCGCGTTTACTGACTGTTTCGACGACGCCCTTTTTCCCAGCTCAAACAATGAAATTATAACATGAGGCTGGAGTTTTATTAAATCCGCACTCACTAAAAGAGTGACTAAAATAGTATAAATTGCTTGGTGAGTACATTTGCAAGATTTGCTGCGTTTTTCACCATTTTTGG